TAATTGAGATTGTTGTTCAACTTTCTGAGTAATGCTGGAGCTTGTTATAAGCTCTGTTTTGAAGTATTTGGTGCACTCTTTTCTTCTCTATTTTTTTTTTTTTTAATTTTATTTTATTTTATTTTTTATTATCATAAAGTGGTCTGAAGAGTTTCAATGCGAAATCGTGGACGGTGTACTGGCACCCACGCCGATTTCTTATAGCTACACTCCATTGGCTTATAATCAGGTATGTTTGTTTATTCTCTTTTTATTTAATCAATTTTATACAAAAATGTAAATGAAATTTCTATTATTATTTATTTATATGTTTATATTAGTATGCATTGATTTTTTTTTAAGATTATTATTATTATTATTATTATTATTATTATTATTATTATTATTATTTATTGCAGCAAACACCACAACCAACGGCAAGATCAGATCATGTTGAGGGTGCAGAGGCAACTACACAAATTCTCTAATCTTTCTAACCTACAATGAACAATGTTATTGTACACAAATTCTCTAATCTTTCTAACCTACAATGAACAATGTTATTGTGCATAATTAGTGTCGAAAGAGCGCCAATATCAAGAAAACAAATGAAAACATATATATAGTATGAAATACAAATTTCTATTTAGAGGCTATTAATCTCATGCTATTTAACGAATTAATATAAATAATTGTTTTTTCATACCCAGCAACAAGGATTCCAAAGTGGCGAATCTTCAAGCAACAAAACACGCAATAAACGCAAGAACGAAGGAGACGAGTCATTGTCTTTTCGGCTTTTCAAGTTAATGAATGGGGCCGAAGAATACCTCATCGAAGTCCATGAGGTATACATATATATATATATATATATATAGCATATATATACAATGATATATTAGTCTAATAACTCATATATATATGCGACATTTTTGTCTCTTAATTTGTGTTTTATTTCAAAGTTGTTAATATAAAATGTGTGTACATATATATATATATATATATATATATATATATATAGGTGACAACGGGTATAACTAGTCGATCACATATACGAGTGATCAAACAAGAAGGCGCATGGCGTATGACTTCAACCGGAAGTGATGACCTAGGAAACCATATGGTGCAACCGTGGTCGGAGGATCCAAACCCTCCTTTATTCGTCAAGACTTCGGAGGCCTCACTCCAAGAGCGTCTAACCGGTTGGACGCTTGAGAAAAGGCAAAGATCTAATGGAAAATATGATATGGTACTACACTACATACACCTCTTCAAATTTCAAAATAATATAGTTTGTGCAAAAGTTGTGCATTATTTTGGAAAGTTTAGAAAAAAAAAAGTATATGTTTGAAAATGTTATAATTATAATTCTTTTCTGATGCAATTTTGATAGTTCTATTATCACCGGCGAAAACAATACAGATCCTTTTACGAGATGGCGACATTCATACTATACGCGAACAAGAGGCCGGAGGATCTACAACTTACGAACAATAATGCCGACGTGTGATTTGAGCAACCACAAGTTCTGCACTCAATCGTGTGTTTGTCTCCAAGATTGATTATCTATCTATCCTACTTTTTTTTTTATTATTATTATTATCAGTATCTATCTATCCTAGTTGGTTGTAATGTTGGTTGTTTTGTGTTTTTTCTACATTTTTTGGTTATTTATGCCAAAAATGTTTTTTATTAGAGCTGTTTGTGATTTTGAATATTGATTGTTTTGGAATGTGTGTTTAAGAGTGAAAGAAAGTCTGAAGGTACTTGTTGCAAGAGTGTGTTGTTTGTCCCATTTTTGTGTCTTTATTTCATGTTTATTTTCTTTTTGTTTTCCCCCATTTGTAGGTTTTTCGTGGTTTATTTGGTCCATTTCGTTTCTTTTGTGTTTTTCTCCTTAGTTTCTTCTTGTGTGTCTTTTTGTTGTGTTTTGCTTCGTGTTTTTCCTTGTTTTTGTGTTTTCAGGAGATAGGTTGTGCCGGTCGAGTTGGGACTGCTTGAGCCGAGACCGTGATATTGAAATTTCCATGGCCGAGCCCAGAAGATGATGAAGAGGACTGAAAAAAAGGGACAGAAACACGCGCCCAGAACTTCTCGCGACTCGCGAGTCGTCTGGCGACTTGAGTCGCGACTCGCGAACATGTCGCAACTCGCGGAAAAAACTGGGGCTTAAGAGGATTTTCGAAGAACGAGTCGCGACTCGCAAGATGATGTCGCGACTCGCGAGTTATGTCGCGACCCAACCCCAGAAGTTTAACATTTTGACGACGCGCGACTCGCGACCGAGGAAAAGACTATCTCGCGACTCGCAACTTAAGTCGCGACTCCCGACTTATCCGGCGCGAATTTCAAGGACCGGATTTTTAGAGCATATTTCGATCTTAGGGTTCAGAATTCGACTTTCAGACTTTATTTTTACACTTTTTCTCTCTATAAACTCATTCCTTTTCATGTTTTTCTCTTTTGATTGGATTTGGAGATTGAAAAACTCCTCTTCTTTGCTTTGGATTTGGATGCACTTGGATTTGACATTGGGTTCTTATCATTAATCGTAAGTTATTTTTCTCAATTGCTTTGTTGATGATGATGACTTGGGTTTATATGAATGTTGATGTTAAATTTGTTATGAGTAGCTAAATCCATTCGCTAGGGATAGGGGATGATTGATTAGGTTCGTTATAACTGAATGTCTTTGATTGTTCATATTTATTCGAGTTGTGTGAATTATAGGGTTAGTAGATTGATCACCTTTCTAACCTAGATAATCAACGTGTAGAACCGAGAGGAGAGACGTTGGTCGAATTAGGCTCGTTTAGAATAGATTTGTTCGGAAACGTATTATCTATGTGTTGTTGGAATTGAAAGTTGATCGTTTACATTCACTCTCTTGTTACGAAGAGTTATTGAGAGTGAACCTCTGAACGAGAAACGATTCAAGTCCTCTAACCGAGCAATTGATTGCCGGTAATTGTGATAGAACCGAAAGCAATTATCCCCGATTCCCTAGCTCTTTAATCATTCAGTGAATTTATTTGCCATTTTGCTTTCATTTTATTCAGTTTAAATCATTAGTTGATAATTGAAACCCAAAAATATTGAATTAGAATGTTTAGGAATTTGTCTTCTCTTTTTCGTGATTGAATAAACGCACAAGAATATCCGACTAACCTTCCTTGCGATACGACTCGGGGAACGAATTTTTCGATTCTACTCCGGTAAAAATACTGACAACATGTGTTTCTTCTTGAATGTAATAAAAACAGG